ATTTTGGTCTGAGCATTGGTAGAGGTAAAAGGTCTCTCTAGGGGTTGGCCTCTCTGCTTATCTGATCCTCTAATATCTGACTCTGGGTTTTAGTTATTAAGAACAATTAGAATTTGAGCTCCAGAGGGGTGAGACACGCACTGAGGAGGAAGCTCTGACAGGGATGGCAGGGAGCAGCAGACTTCTGGAATGCTGGACATCCACAGGTTAGGCCTGATGGACCCTGGAAAGCAAGGCATTCTGGGTGCTCGGGCAGGGGGAGGGACTAACAATTTTCCACAGGAAGATACTGAAGACCAATTTAACTGTATCGCATTCTTGACTTTGCTTTGGGTGCTTTTACTTTAGAGCTAATTAAATCAATTCGTCATCTTTTGTGGAACAGGTATTGACAATAATATGCTAGTTAGCCCAGAGGACGTTCGCGTCATTAAAAACCAGGCAGGAGGCCACCTAAAATGCGTAGGTGAACATTACATTACAGCAAGTTAAATGCCTGTGAGGAAATGGCGAGGCTCCAGGCATTTCTGGGGCTGCCTCTGCCTTCTGTCAGGTTGTACTACACATCTTCACTTTAAACTTGTGGGAGAAGCTGCATCTCCACCAGGATTTTCTCCAACACTATGTTTCTGTAAATGAATTCTTGGCTTAGACATCAGTACTATGTTGGACAAAGAACGCATGTTCTGCCTACATCTCAAGGGCCTGAGTGATTTCTTCTTTCAAGGAGCTGTTTTCCTACCTGTGGGTTTGACTTCCCTAGCCACAGATGAATGGATCGGCAAAAATGGCAGACAGACGACCCTTGATAACAATTGACCCTACCTTTCTGAGGTTGGTGGTGATGCGCTAGGTCTAACACTCTCTCCTAAAAATTTCAGCTTAAGATATAAGGGCCAGGGAGCTGGGATACTGTGGTGATATCTTGTTTGTACAAATAAAGCTGGCCTGAAGATCAGAGGGCAGTTAGCCACTAGCCAACCATAGAGGCAGACCTGGAGGTCTATACAGACAGACAGTGTAATGGAAAAATTAAAAACGCTGCAGATCCCCGAGCAGCTTGCTGCGGGATCCCGAAAGCAGCCAGTCCCAGTCAAGGATGGTACACGAGACCACACGGCAGGTCTCTGAAAGTGGCTGGTCCCCGGAAGCAGCAAGCCATGTGGCTGTTGGTGGGCGAGAGATAAACGGATAGGCACACCATGCAGAGTGAAGTTGGATATTTATTTACTGGTTGTGGAAGGGAGGGGAGAAGGGGAGAAGAGCAGAGAGCAGAAAAAGGGGGGGAGAAGGAGGGGAGAGAGAGAGAGACGGAAGCTGCCCCCCCCAAGAGGGAGCTGGAAAAGAGAGAGAACTCAGGCTGGAAGCTGAAGATCAGCTTGCCTCAGTGGATGGGAGAGGGAGTGGGCGTGGCTTGTCTCTTAAAGAATCAGAACAACCATTATAGACAGGAAGTGATATGGCTGGGCAGAGAGAGGAAGTGATAGGGTGGGAGGAGACAGGAACTCACTCTCTTTTTGGCTGGGAAGTTGGGTAGGTAAGGTGGCTGTGGTTTTGCTCTTCCATCTCTCTGATCTCTCAGCATTTCCCCTATATCTGACTCAGGGCTTATTATTAAGACCTATTAGAACTCTTGATACAGGATGCCTGTGAGAAGCCTGTAAAATCAGGAAACAAGACAAGTCACAGAGAAGCAGAGACCTGAGTGAGCACTTGTGTAGTAAGAAGGAATGAGTGGCATTCCCACCGCCTGGCTAGCTGAACCGCGAAATAACAACACACAAATTGTATTCATTTAAACACTGCCTGGCTCATTAGTTCTAGCCAATCTCACATCTTGATTCAACCCATTTCTAATAATCTGTATGTCACCATGAGCTTGTGGCTTACCGGGAAAGATTCAGCATACCTGACCTGGCAGCTTCATGGCAGGTGGCTCTTTGTCTCTGCCTCCTTTCTCCCAGCATTCTGTTCTGTCTACTCTGCCTATCTAAGTTTTGCCCTATCAAAAGGCAAAGGCAGTTTTCTTTATTCAACCAATGAAAGCAACACATAGAAAGAAGACCCTCCTACACCAACCATGGAACTGGGGAGAGCATAGAATTACTGGAGAGGTTGTTGGCTGGTAGCAGCCAATGAGAGCTGACACTCTCTTGACAAAGGATAACCCAGATAATGCAATGGCTGGAGCTAGGAGGCTCATCTTAGAAGTCGCCTATGGGACTCCTGTCCCTACAGTCACTGCTCTGTCCTTTCTTTATAGCTTAGGGGAGAGGAAGGGGATGCACCCAAATGCCCGATGCACAAGTATGCCGCATTTCTTTTTCTTCAGTGGTCTCTTAAGTGCTCTTGGTCGTGTCTCTTCCTTTGTGCCTTCCTTACAAGTGACTTTGTTCCTCATCTCCTATGCAAGTGAATATTCATGACCCAAGACGAAGAGGTCATGAGGACAATGAGAGGCTAGCTCACAGAGAGCATCAGCCATGTCAGCCTGGCTATTGAGGGGCCCCATAGACTATGGCACACACCAACTTTGACTTATTAATCCGTTTATATTTGTAATGACTGAGTGAAGACATGATAATTTAGCTTAAATATTAGGTCAGTGCTCAATTTAGATGGTTCCCTTTCTCATTTAAGATTCACTTTACAACCGAGGATGACCTTGAACTCATGACCCCCTTGCCTTTATGTAACATGAGGATTGCAAGGGTGCACCGCTATGCCTAGCTTCTTTAACAAGTCTTCAAAGGGAAACTGATTGCTCTCTCTCTCCATCCTGTCTTTTGTTTCCTTACAACTCCAGTCCGGATGGTGCTTATTTGGTGTCCCTCGTGCAGGCTAAGGTTGTATTGTACCGAACATCAGGATAATGACACAGGAGGAAGGGAAGTCCTCAGATAACCCGGAGGCACAAACCACAGACACACTGGGGTCTATCTGTAGTGCTACAGGGGAGAATACAAGTATCCTTGTCCATGGGGCAGTCTCATGTTTCCGTCTTTCTGTTCCCACAACATAGTCTGCCCCCTCACTAATAGACCATGACAGGCTTTCCCTAGATGCTTACCTGGTACCAGAGTCTGCTCAGAGTTCTGACTGGATGTTACATCACTTTGCCCCATACCAATCTTCTTTAATGGGTGTTGCCAGCCATTGCACAGATGTGCAAGTGAATGTTGAAAGGTTAAGGGTCTTGCACAAGATCACATGGCTGTGTGGGGCAGGAGGCTTTGAATGAGGCCCTGAAGTACCTTAGAACGCATTTTCCTAGGCTGACCATTCGCTATTGGATAACAGTTGGTGTGCTCTTCCCTGGGGAGACTGTTTGTACTGCACCCAGCATTCCTTAGTTGCCTGTAGTGCTTTGTGTAGCGGTGAGGCCTCCTGGCCTATTATTATGTCTACCGCTGTTGTCCTTGTTCAGCCCAGGTTTAGACAGCACTGTTGGTGAAATTTTCTGGGTGTAGTTTCTGACTTTTTTTTTAACCAGACCAGAAACACACATATAAGTAACATGAAATTGGTGTGGGAGAATTGTCTGTATTCTGTCAACCATATTTTAATAAAACGCTGATTGGCCAGGCAGGCAGTATAGGCGGGAAAGGCAGACAGGAAGTAGAGGTGGAACAAAGAGACTGGGAGCATTCTGGAAAGCAGGGAGCTCCCTCCGCAGTTCTGCCCAGATCACCAAAGAGGCAACATGTGAGCTGCCATGCTGAGAAAGGTACTGCGCTGTGTGGCTAACATAGATAACGATAATGGATTAATATAAGTTACAAGGACTAATAAGAAGCCTGACCTAATGGGCCAATCAGCTTTATAACTTATAGAGATCTCTGTGTGATTGATTTTCTCTGGGACTTGCCGACTGTGGGGTACTGGGCGGAACAGATACCCCAACAAGCTAGCCCCTCATGTTACATGAAATAGACTGAGTGGGTTATATTTAGGAATATATACATATTTGTATATAACAACAATTAATGAAGAGGCCATGACTCTTTGAACAGAAAGGAGGGATATATGGGAGATTTGGGAGGGAAGAATGGAAAAAGGGAAAATACTGTAACTATATGAAACTCTCAAAAAATAAAAGAAACAGCAACAACAACAATAACATTCTTCTACTAGCAGTTCCCTGTTGTCTCTTTTTTCTTTTTAAATTATTTTCTTGAAAATTTCTTATATGTCCATACTTTACATCATTGTAGTGATATTTCATTTGTATTTTAATAAATAAAGCTTGCCTGAAAATCAGAGAGTAAAACAGCTGCCCTGGTCAGCCCTACATACCAGGCAGTGGTGACACATGCCTTTAATCCCAGTAGCCACAGTAGCTTGCCATAGAAACTGGTGGTAGTGGTGCACGCCTTTAATGCCAGCCCTAGAGAGGAATGTAAAATGGGAGGAGACAGCTCTCACTCACAGTCTCATTCTGAGATTCCTGAAGGCAGGATCGCCGTGTTGGGTTGAGGAAGAGATAAGAGCCAGTGACTGGCTGTTTTGCTTTTCTGACCTTCAGGTTAACCCCAATATCTGTCTCTGGGTTTTTATTAATTGTGCTACACATCATATTCATTCCTCCTGTTCCCTTCCATTCTCATGTCCCTCTACCCTCACTCTCAACTTTATGGCCCCTTTGCCTTTGATTATATGTAATATATATACAATCATGTGCGGCATGTATGATATATATATGATTCCTACTTAGTCCATTTAGTGTTACTCTCATGTACATGTCTTTAGGGATGAACACTTGAGGTGTGGCTATGTCCCTTCCTAACAGACTTCTCAGAGGACTTCAATATCCAGGGCTGTCTTGTGACCACCTCTAGCAGTTGGGCATTCTAGGATGGCGAGAACATTAACTGGGGTGCATTGCAGGGCAAATCAATGGAGGGGTACAATAGCAGCTTCTGTTATGAGGGCTCCCCTACCCCTCCAGAGTCACAGCTCCTAAAGTTAACTTCTCTCTTCCTTTTCATGCCTTTTCCTAGGTGAGAAGCCTGGGACTGAGCCAGAGGAGGTGAAGCTTCAGAATGCCAGCAAGCAGATTGTACAGAACGCCATTCTGCGAGCCATGCAGCAAGTCTCCCAGGAGAGCCTGCGGAGGGAAGGCAGACCCGGTGACAGCAGGGCCAGAAGCCAGCTGGGAGGGTGCGAGCTGACCAAGAAGCACGAAAAGAAGTAATAGGTGCTGGGTCTGGCTCTTGTCATCTTGGTTTCTGCCTTTTCTGGTAGTGTAGGATGTGCCACCAGATGTTGCCAATAAGCAAACCAAAGTGTCATGGATGCCCATCAGTAGGATGAGTTCATGCTAGTCTTTGTGACAAGCTGTGGTTTGCAAACCTGCATTAGGGACTCTTCATATCTGTGGGGAGACTCCGGGAGCAGCTGAGCCAGATGTGGCACTCACACTGCAGACGTCATTTTGCAACACAACCTATTTTCCTATTTCTTAAAAAAAAAGAGTCTACATTTTGTTTATTTATGCATTTTTCCCATGAATTCAACCAGTGGTCTTTATGGCCCTTCTGAGTCACTGAGAGTGGTTCTGTGTTCTTCATAAATATTAAAAGATACACTAGAAAGATGAAGGAATGGAGCTTTAGCCCTGTTCAGACAGACACTTGATGACTTTTCTGTTGAGAGTTCAGGTTCAAGGTCAAACTGAGCAGAGCAGAATCCAGCCCCAGCCCTGTACAAGAGCTTACGTTTATATTTCTCTAAGGAAGGACTGTGTTTATGCCTTGTGAGACCTCAGTCTTTCCTCTGTTCTCGGAGTTGTTTGTTGACATTTACCTTCTGCGCAGAGATCTGGTGGGGACAGGATATTTCTTCTTAACTCCAGATTAAAAGAGATGGCTGAACCTGCACTCATGAGTTTTCTTTGGCAGTCTAAAGGGAACAGCACACACTCTGAGCTTCTAGCTGCTCCCCATCCTGGACTTACCAACCCTTGAAGCTGGAGAGGGCAGTCAGCCTCCTTGGCCAGGCTGAGCCCGGTGATGGCTATGCATCTTTGCTAGTCCTTTACTGACAGATTTCCCTCTCCCACGAAAAGAATCAGCGTGACCTTTTTCTTTTAACATTATCAAAATTATAAGGCCAGGAATAAGAACTGTGAAGACATGGGAAACTTTTGTTTTTTCTTTTTAATTCTCCGAGGTGTGTGAACAGAATGAGAAGAGGAATGTGGCTGTGGGCTGAAGGCATTTGGAGAGAAGTGTGTGCATGTGCGCCAACACAGCCACCTCCATTCCACACGACAGCCTCCTGCTGCTCCCGTGTGGACAACAGGTGTCTCTCTCAAGTCTTTCAGAGCCTCCTTTACTGTGCTTCATGGAAACCACTGAGCTGGTGCTACTGGGGACAGAGGAAGAAGTCAACCTTGGCTAAAACCCTCCAGGCTACAGAGTATCAGTGTCTACATTGGCATTCACTCTAAAAGACACATATTGCTAGTGTTTACACATCTCCCAAATTCAAATCTGCCATGCTATGTGTGGCCGGGGATACTACAGATAACAGTAAATAATAATAATAAAAAGAACCATTCACCACATTAGACTATATTTGGTGATGCATAGGTGGAACAAATTAATCCTGGGAGAGAATTCACAGGGGAAATAAGAGGGGGTTAAATTTTAGATATTGTTTATTCATCAATTTTTTTTAAAGCAGAACTCATGGCAATTAAAGAACAAACTTAAGTCAACCTAAAATCATATGACTGAATTTGTGGCAGTCTTATAGCATGGGCAATGGGAATAAGTATATTTGGAGAAATTTTTCATACGTTCCCACAAATAAGAAACGTAACCCGTGCCTGCACTTTGTAGGTGGCCTGACACTGTGTCTCTGCTAAGACATCTGACTCGACCCAACCTTGTTTTACTGTCAAATGGCAGAAGCATAATATGTTTCCTTTCTTCTCTGGCGTGTATGCACTAATAAACAAGGGATCTGGGAAATATAATTGATTTCTGTATTTAAATACTATTTATAAATAAATTATATTTAGCTTTTAAATATGTATCCTTGTAAAGCAGTTTTCTATACGTTCTTGTTTGGCTCATATTATGTGACTCTTACCTGCATAAAGGCTTTCCAGGGAAATGTGTCTTCAAACTCTTCCATACCATAGGCAGAGTGCTAACTGTTTAAAGTCCCTTTACCTTGACTAAGGAGAGCTTTGACTATAGAAAAGAAGCGTACTTATTATTTTTGTTTCAGATAGGATTTCACTGTGTAGACCTGGCTGTCCTAGAACTATATACACCAGGCTGGCCTCTAACTCACAGATATTCCCCTGTCTCTGCCTCCTGAAAGCTGGGATTAAAGGCGTGCATCACACTGCTTTGCAAGAAATGGAGAGCAAAGGTAAGGAGAGCGGTCCTGTCAAGTGTTCATTACGATTTTCCTGAGGTGGAAAGTCTGAAGCAAGAAATAGTGACACCGAGTCCTGAGAGGTCAGGGTGAAGCGGAGCGACCAGAGCCTTTAGGGGTTTATGAATTCTGAAGAGATCTATGACGATTCAGTCATAAGAACAGTGTGGCTACTGTACTCTTGAGTCACCCTCAGTCCAATGATAAGGCTATTGGGTTTCACAAGGGGGCATGGAGTTTCTTGCCTGTTTCCTCTTGGTTACTGTCATAAGTCAGTCCTCGGCTCTGTTTTCAGAACTAGGGGAACATTTATTTAATGTCCTTTATGACTTTGATGTACTGCAAGGTGAAGCACATGAGAGTTTCCCAGCTCTGTGTGTTCAGCTGTTCACGCCTGGCTTGGCTGTCTCCAGGAGAGAACTAAAGACAGGGATCCTTCCATGTGGCTTTGCTTCTCTGTAACCCTCTCTTCAGTGCAAACACTGTTGCAAATAGACCCAGAACAACTCACTGGCTTCCTGGGCTTTATTCTTCATCACGTCCCCACTTCTTTTAGGCATCAGTTGCTTAATCTTTTCATTAGGGGATTTTTTTATAGGTTACTAATAAATTAAGGGGATATTTTCAAATCATTGAATTTGTGCCATTCAGTGAACAAGCACCTGGCTGTTTTTCAAGGTGGTTTTATGACCTCTGTGATAAAATAATAACGAAGAAGGGAACTACAGGCTTATCCATGGAAATAAGGGTAACTTTCTTCGCACTTGTAGTGTCCACATAGATGGAAAGAACTGGTATGCGATCAAATTCCTCCTGTAAGAGAAGGTGGCAATGGAAACAATGTCTCCTCTCTTGAGTTGGCAGTGTTTGTCTGGAATGTATGACCACCCGTTACCTTCTTTGTCTCCCTGCCACAGCCTCACAATAAGATGCAGGAAGAGGAGAGTTTCCAAGGTCTGAGGGGGGTTAATACAACATCAGCGCAAGAGTGAGCACTACTGGGCTTGACACGGAGGAGACCACTGAGCTCAAACTGAATTCTTGAATCACTTAAGACCCAAATTTTAGGAATATTTATGTTAAGATGGAAGAGTAAGAAAGTCTTACAGAATAGTTTTCTGAATGAACAACTTAAAACCAAGAAAACAAAAGGACAACAAAACTATTTGCCAGTGGCAGAAACCCAATCTCATTAGCTTCCAACAATGGCAGCTGAATTAGTCAGCTGTATGTTACTATAATGAAATGCTTGAGGCAATTAAGCTATAAGGGCAAAGGGTTGATTTAGCTTATTGTTTCAGAGGTTCTATTTCGAGACTGGGTATCACATAGCTTGGGGATCCTACTGATAGTAACATTCTGTAAGAAGAGTTTTGAGGTCTAGCGCACCAATGATACTGTGATTCGTGGAGCAGAAGCAAACCGGCAGACCAAGGTTTCACAGTCTCCTTTAAGGAATTGCTCCTGATCACCCAAATACTCCCCACAAGGCTCCACCTCCTAAAGACTCTACCGCCCTCTGATAACATCACCCTGAGGACCAAACCTTTAATGCATCGACTTTAGACACTCACCTGAACCGTACTATTCACATGGAAACAGGAAATGGTAGAGAGTAAAACCATACCAGAGGACAGGAAGTGCATCCATTTTTATGCCATTTGTTAGAAAACATATCTGTTTGTACATTGTGCCCCAAGTCTGATGTGAAGACATTGAGGTGGTTTTGCCTTTTGTTCTTGGTAGCATGCAAATATAGAAAAGATCTTTGGGAGGAAATATGTGAGGCAGGAGAGACAACCTTCAGACAAAACTGGAAAACTCATCTAACAAAAAGGAAAAAAAATGAAAGAAAAGAGAAGGACATGTGCATATTTCTAAAGTATATGATATGCTAGAAAATATATGCAAAATTATTAATGGCCATACTACTAGAGTATAAGAAGAATTCTTAAAACTTGTGAGCTGAGAGCAAGTAATTGTTAAGGACCAATTTCCATACTGAAATCAGGTTTCTTCAGAATGATGTTCAATGCCCCAACACAAGCGTGAAAGGCAATCAAAGAGCTGTGGAGAAGGGACAGGGTAAGGGGTAAGTCAGCTGTCATTCACAGAAAGGATGTCGCTTTACAATAAAAACAAGCATGGAGGGTCTTAGTGGTCACCCATGCTCATGATCCTCTGGGCAAACGAATTTCTCACTATGAATTTGAGCTGACAAAAGATAAGTGAAAATAAATGTGTAAGGAATGGTGTGATGGTTTGAATAGGCTTGGCCTCTGTAGGCTCCTGTGTTTGAGTACTTGGCCTATAGAGAGTGACACTATTAGAAGGTGTGGCCTGGTTGGAGTAGATGCGGTCTTATTGGAGGAAGCCTGTCACTGTGGGGAGAGGCTTTGAAGTCTCATATGCTCAAGTTCTGCCCAATGTGAGACACAGTCTCCTTCTGCTGCCTGCGGATCAAGATGTAGAACTTTCAACTCCTTTTCCAGCACCATGCCTGCCTGCAAGCAGCCTCACCATGACAATAATGGACTAAACCTCTGAGACTGAAAGTCAGCTCCAATTAAATGTTTTCTTCCTTTCTGAAAGTTGCTGTGGTCATGGTGTCTCTTCACAGCAGGAGAGACCCTGACCAGGACAAATGGAGAGGGTGTGTGGGCAGGGTGAGTGCAGAACAGTGCTCCTACCAGTGTAAAGTGGACAGAAGAGAGTTGTGACCATTCCATTACAAAGGAAAAATGTACACTGGCATGTCTCATCGGCATGGAAGGATTACTAACAAAACTCAGGACACAGGTAAGGGAAATGACATCATGGTAAGGATTTCACCTGCTAAAGAAAGGATTTATATGGCTTCAACTAGAATGATCTAGTTCACAAATCCAAGGAGTTCCAATTGTTTACTAGTGTTTCTAGTTCCTTCTTAGCTGTAGAGCAATGCATCAGAAAAGAATAGAATAGGAGAGTTATGCAAATTACAGTCATTCTTTTAGCTTCCACCTTCTCTTTTTACCTTTCCAATAAATTCAAAAGAAATCCAGTATAATGTCCAGGTAGCAAGAAGTCTCTGTCAATTCTAGAGTTCTGGAAGTAGTTTACAATGCACTTCCTGTTTTCTTAGGTAATATTATATCCTTCTGGAATCTTTGGTGGAGTTGAAGAATTTATAGTTTTCCTTAGTTATGATAAGAGATAAAGTAGATATAAATATTGTAGCTATAATTCTTGCCTGCTTTTTTATATGTAGTTTTACTATGCTAACATTAAAACCTTCCTTTTTATTTAAACAGAAAAGAAGAGGTAATATGGGATTTCCCTTTGTATGCTGTGAATAAATTGGTAAATAAAGAAACTGCCTTGGCCTGTTGATAGGGCAGAACTTAGGTAGGTGGGGAAAACTAAACTGAATGCTGGGAGAAAGAAGGCAGAGTCAGAGAGAAGCCATGTAGCCCAGCTAGAGACAGATGCTAGAACTTTAGCTGGTAAGTCACAGGCACGTGGTGACACACAGATTAATGGAGATGGATTAAATTAATAAGTAGGAGCTAGCCAATAAGAAGCTATAGCTAATAGGCCAAACAGTGATTTAATTTAGTTTCTGTGTGATTATTTCGGGGTCTGGGTGGCCGGGAAATGAACAAAAGGCTTCCTACAACAGACTTTGCTCATGTCTTTCACCAGGGGAAGTATCCTTTGATGAACAGCATGAATTTTGTTGGATATGATGGCCAATGGTACCTTTGCAGAGGAAAATATTTCTTTTGACTCTTAGAATGAGGCCAAAGGTTGTTCACAGTTTAAGTAATGAGAGAGAAAAGGATGTTCTATTCTTATACTGTTCTGCAGTGTTAAAAGCAGTTGCTAGTGTGGCCTATGCTTTTTTCCAGCTGAGCTTTTTTTTTCTTCAAAGTTTATTAAATTATGAAAGTTTCCATTTCCGCCCCTCCTCCCAACACCCTCCCACTCCCCTCTCCCCCTCCTCCTCCCTCTCCATCCCTAAGGGCAGTCAGGGTTTCCTGCCCTGTGGGAAGTTCAAGTTCCTCCCCCTCCTTCCAGGTCCAGGAAGGTGAGTATCCAAACAGACTGGATCCCAAAAATCCAGTATATGCAGAGGAAACAAGTCCCAGTGTCATTGTCAATGGCTTTTCAGAAAGGCTCCGGGCCAGCCACATTCAGAAAATCTGGTTGGATCACGTGCTCGTTCAGTCCCAGTCCAACTGGCCTTGGTGAACTCTCATTAGATCAGTCCCCTTGTATCAGTGGGTGATCGCACCCCTCGTGGTCCTGAGTTTTTTTTCATGTTCTTCCTCCTTCTGCTCCTCATTTGGACCATGGGGGGCTCAGTCCGGTGCTCCAATGTGGGTTTCCATCTGTATCGCCATCCATCGTCGGATGAAGGATCTATGGTGATAAGCAAAATCTTCATCAGTATGGTTATAGGCCAAGGCCGGCTCAGGCACCCTCTCCTTTGTCCAGAGAACAATCTGGGGATCTCTCCTTGGACCTGGGATCCCATTTATAATCAAGTCTCTTGTAAACCCTAAAATGACTCCCTTAGTTGAGATATATTCTTCCCTGATCCCATAT